CCTGCAATCATTTATTGATGCTCCAGGACTCAGAATTGTTTATTCTCTAATTACACACTAAAACCATGTGCAAGGAATTCATGCACACACAGTGTTCAAATTGCAGACTTAAATAAGACATCAAGCAGTCGGGACAACGTTTCGGCCTTACAATGTGGCTTTTGTCAAGTCCAGCTTATCTCAAGCAATGTAACTCAACAGTAGTGGACACCATATGCATATTTATGTTCATCCCCCAGCATGTCCAAATCACCATTCTTTGTATTAAACTGATTTATTATGACTAACTTTAATCCAGGTGCAGCAAATCACCCACTACTGACTCCTAGTAATGGTAAATAAACCAGACAATGATGCCTATAACATCACTAAGTGCCTTGTGCTGTTTCCTTATGCAGAGAAAAGTGTATGGAAGAGAGCAGCTGCATATTTTTTTTTACAATGAAGCATCACATCCCCTTTAGCATTTATGGCCATCAGTAAGAAAAAAGGATTTTTCAGGAAATTAAAGAAAACAAGAAAACGGTCTTAAGAAAACAAAATACATGATTTGAATTGTAGTCCTTTTGGGCCCACCTATCACAGAAAAGTATGTAGCTTTTGCAGAAAATTAATTGAGGGAGGGATGGCTGCTTTAGTGAAGATTATGTAAACCTTGTTACTGGCAAAAGAATATGCTGAATTAATTTCTTGTACTCATTGGTAACAGCTACATCATTTTATTATTGTGATTTGACAACAAATATCTGGAAAATTCGGATGAGTCTACTTTACCAGTCTCTGTAGGCCTCGTACATATTTTAGTTGAGTATTTATAGAGTTAAATGAAGTCTTGCTCAGTGCCAAAATGAATGTATTGTTTTTTTATTAGACAGTACCCATTTGGTTCTTCCCTCCTCCACTGCTCTAATCAATCCAGATAAGTGTTAATATTGTTCAATCATTTGCTTACAACTACCCCATAAAAAGCATTAGTTACCTCAGATACATGTTAGCGTTATTTACATTTTTGTACTTAATAACTTTGTGAAAGTGATTACATTTGCACATTAAATGCTTAACTTTTCTGTGAACAATGGGTTCAAGATTTGTATCTGCCACAACTAAGCCACCAATCTGCAAGACACTTTTAGTAGAGGATCCTATTTTCTTCTCTTTTGTTGTGGATGAACAAAGGCTTGCTACTATCAGATCATGACTTATATTGCTCTGTACCAGAAGCCCATTGCTCCCTGTAGAATGTTCTAGAAAGATAACTCTTTTCCTCTTTGAAAGGTTTGTATCAAACAAAGGGGAAACACTTTTTTCTGTAAAGTCTTATGAGCAGAAGTTAGATTGTCTTACAGAGAAAATGGAAAAAGTATTCTTATTATATTGAATGCTTTGACTTCTAAGGTTATTATACCATAATATGTTTTGGTCACAGTTTGAAAAAGTTAGCATTTTAATGCCCTGTTCTAGTTTTGCTTTACAGAAAATCAGAGAAAAGGTTGAACTTTGATGCTTTCAACAACAGCTATAGTATGAACAATTTTTGTTTTTTTGTGGTGGGGCAGGGGGTGTTTTTTAATTATAACCCTTAGTTCAAGTCTGTCTCCAAGAGCAGGAAATGACTAAAGCTGTTCCTTTTACATTGCTGCACCCATAATCTTTTGTTCTTGATATGTGCTGTGTTGTATTCTTGGTGACTGTGCATCCATGCATTTTTATTCTCTTATTTTGATTTCTCATTTGTGCCAACCTAGTCAGTATTTGTACGCAGCTTTTTGTCTTGCAGGGTCTTATTCATTTCACTTGAATGTTTAATGCACATTTCCTCACTAAGCCTAGCAGGTTAATTTCTGCAAATTACAAACTTCAACGTAAATTGATTAATCCAAAGACGTTCCCCCATGTCAAAGATAAATTAGGCACTAAGTTTCCATATTATTTCTTCTTTGCAGTGTCTTAGCATGTTCTTCAACAAAAGTGAATTCCGGCATCTGCATAGGATATATTTTCAGTGCTACAATGGATCCTGACTGTCACCCTTATTAGAATTTGCTGAAATGATTTTTCAGCTATACAAGTACATGCTCAAATTCTGCTATTTAAAATGTTATATTAATCAATGAAAGAATGTGAGTTAATTCTGTTACCTATAACCTGCTCTTATCTGATTTTGTACTCAAATATTTTTCTAGAAATGTTTTTCTGATAAATAACAATATGCACATGGCTTCACATTAAAATTTCTATTTGCATTACAAAATGTTTGCCATTTATTATAACAGTTGTTATTTTTATAAAGTATAATGTAATTAAGCATTCATATGTCTCTAATGGGTATTAATTATATTTATAAAATAGATTGTAATCTATTACAATAGATTGTTTTTTTATATTTAATACTTTTATTTATTTCATTGTCATTCTGAAAAAGAATTTGACATATCCATACACTTAAAAATAAATAGCTATACTAACTAGACAAAAGTTACATGACATTGGGCGCAATGGAGAGAACAGTTCTTCCTAGTAAGCTGTCTGTTACTTTAGACTATGAGTAGAAAGGAGGGTTATAATTAATTAGATAGGAAATTGTATTAACCACAAGTGCAAAATCGTTTTAAACTTTTCATATTGATGAAGAAAAGAATGGTAACCTTTTTCCATCTGAACCTGATATCGAATTTGATTAACTACCATATTAACTTTTATAGCATCGGATTGGAGCCATTTCCTGGCAATTATAATTTTTAAAGCCAAGAAGCCTTGTATAACCATGGCTTTATATTTATTCTGTATTATATCTAGATTCAATGAAACCGAGCTCTTTCAATCGTTGATGGAATAATATTAGTAATAGTGGATAAGATACCAAAGAGATCCATCGAGGCCTTTTTAATTTTTTTTACAGCACCACCATATATAACTAAAGGTTTCATTACATCTCCAACAAAGTGGATTCCTCCCTGCATTGAATTTGACTAATTTTACTGGGACCATGTACCATCGCATCATAATTTTGTAATGTAATTCTACAATATTTTGACAATGGGTTAACTTACTCCACACATGCTATTTGTCCATTGTTCAAAATCAAGAGTCAAGTTCTTTTTGCCATGCCTCAAATGGTTGTAATTTAGGCATTTTTTTTTTTTTTTTCTAATATGCTGTACCATTTACTCATAGCTTTTTGGATAAATTTACCATCGAGGACCAAGGGAATATTCTGGGCTATTTTATTATTCTAATCATTAAATAGGAGTTCTAAAATAATGCCATATTCATAGTTCAAAATCTGATTCATTAAATGCATATTCATTAACTGGGTTGGAGCTTTTAATCCAGCTTCAGTTAAGAATTCACGTACTTTATCGTTTTTAAAATGTACCCAATTAGATAACTTCAAATGAGGGATATTGTTTTTTTAGAATTTCTAAAGGAGTGTACAGTAAAAACTTATCCTTTATACATACACGGTTTTTAAAAGTTATCTGGAATTCAATACAGTTCCTAATTATCATAGCCAAATAAATTTTTTCCAATTTTTAAAAATGTTTCATCATGTAACCATAATACGCCTTCCAAGTTGCTCATACCTGCTAGTTCTTGTTCTATATAGTATCAGCTCTCCCCTTTACTCTTGTTATATTGAAGCTTAAACAAATGACACAACAGACTAGCTTCTGCATATCGTTCCAAACTAGGCATGTTTAACCCTCCTTTCTTGTGATTAGAAAAAATAATCTTATTACTTAGTCTTGGTTTTTTTTATCAGCCCAGACAAAATTATTAACATTTGTTTGGAATATTCTAATCCAACTTAAAAGTAATTTTAATGGTATCATTCTCAAAAGAAAAGTCAATTTCAGAATGATATAAGCTCTAATTACATTAATTCTTCCCAGCCATGATATGAAAAGTCCTTTCGATTCGTGAAGTTGTCTAATTGTTTCTTCCAAAAGTATAGAATAATTAATTTCGATAATTGTTTCTATATTTTTAGGAATCTTTACTCCTAAATAATTAATTTTGTAAATTCCTCAACAAAGTTTAAACTGTTTACTTAGACTAGTTCTTTTCGATATATTATTGCTATATCCATAACCTGCGATTTATTCAAATTTTATTTTATAATTTGCTACATAGGCATAAACTTGAATTTCATTCATTAATGAGGCCAGTGAATTCTCAGGATCATACAAAAAGATAAGAATATCGTCCGCATACATACTAAGAGGGGATATACAAAACTGGAGAGCAAGAAGCTCCCACCAAATTTGTAGTGGTTGTGGGGTAATATAGGGCCTAACCCAGAGAAAAGAGATAATAGAGAGTGCTTGAAACAGGTCTGCAAAGATGCACACCCGATTCCAGTCCTATTACCCTAAATGGAAATTACTGAGTAAAAAGAATTGGCATATAGTGCCTAATATACATATGCATAGAAAATAAACTTTATTGTCCAATACTGGATAAACACATCTAAATATTATAGACACCAAAGTGAAAAAATAATAATGAAAAAAAATTGATAGTAAGTATAAAAATAGGACCAACTGCTGGAGCTAATGTGTACAAAGTGTACTAATTACGAAATAGCCAGATTGTGATACTGATAAAGTGGAAACAGTATCTAAGGGGAGATATACAGTATATACATAGGTAGATGCAATAAAGTAACCCTAGTCATACTGGCCAAGTGGCAACAGAATGGGTATATCTTATAACTAGTCAAACTCAAAGTAATGTAAATCTGTACAGCAGGATCAAATAGGTGTCTGGCTTGTCAGAGAGTATCTGGGAAGTCCACAGCAGACCCCAGATGAAAGTCCCGTTCGGAAAAACTGACAGTGGATAACATAAGAAATTGCTCTCCCCTATTATGATAGTCTCTGATAGCACCTAAATGTAGGTAACTGAGCACACAGTTGTATCCTGATAGATTCAGGGCATAAGTATCAAAAAGTAAGAAACAAAAAATGGCTTGAATAAACCTATACAGTGTAAAGTATATAAAATCTGAAGTAGATATTTAGTAGATAACCCCAAAAAACAGGTTCTAGGCTTAATTGGCAGATAAGGGATAGCGTCCAGTATACCACTGCAGATCCCTAAATGGACTCTTAAGATAGTGCACTAATGAATCTCTGGGTAAATCACAGGATAGAATATTAAGTACTGTGCTGGAAGCGTCCCTGGGAAAAAGAGCCCGCTAGAATGGATAGAGCAACTGAATGCTTATCACACTTGTATTGTCTGGTATCGCTCAGGTATGCCGTGCTAAGCTTAAGGAGTAGTTAACAACTGAACAACTGAGTGCTTATCATGCTTGTAGTATCCAGTATTGGTCAGGTATGCCGTGCTTCAACTGGAGAAGTAGTGAACTGCCTATCAAGAGCTAGATAAACCCATATCTGAGAGACCCAGAACCCTAGGCTAAAAACAGCTGCTGAGCGGTCTGAATTTAAAAACCCACAGAAGTGTGGAGTCTACCTCAACGCATTTTGGTGCTAGGATGCGCCCTTGTCGAACTCTTGACAAAGGCGCATCCTAGTGCCGAAACATTTAGGTGACTATAGTGTTCCTTTAATATCATATCTATTCTAGAATAGGATTGACATCTATGTGGAAAAAATTGGTTGGTCTGATAGTTCTCCAAATGTCAAATAGCCTGTACTTACCCAGTGTGTCTTGAAATGCTTTTGCAAGGTTATTTTGTCTATTACTCTGTTTACGATTGTTTTTTTTATCTGTATCATAATCAGCAAAACAATTAGTCTCCACAAATAAATGTTCCCTGCAGGAAAGGTGGCTGTAGTACAGCTAATATGAGCAAATTCCAAAGTATAGTAACATCAAAACCAACTCTTTAGTGGAGCCTGATGGGGCATCAGCGGCGTATGTAGAGGGATATTCTCTGTGTGGATCAGATGGAGGCCGCTTTCCAGGATCTGTTTGAAAAAAGAGGAGATAATAGTGCAAATACGTCTAGTAAAGCGGTTGGATAGCAGGAAGAAGGGATCTATGGTAGCCCTACTCACGTGTAGTTAAGCTGAACTAGCTCTAGTGTGGATGGCGTACAGTGCTACAATCCCTGTTTGTGGGATACGTAGAGAAGTATTGGTCTTTTTTATCTGTATGTGGAAGAAAAGATGATAGGGCAGTACATCTAGTAAAGATGGTATAACAACAAACAGCAGAGTCCAATATAGTCCTACTCACGTGCGGTAGAGCTTGAACCAGCTCTAGTGTGAATGGCGTACAGCGGTATAATCCCCGCTTATAGGATACGTGTTGAGTGTCAAGTCTTGTACTGATATATAGATCATAGAAGAGAGAGGAGACAACTGATAGTGCTCACTGTATAAAATAATATATAAGGAGTATAAAAAAAAAAGGGTACTCACATATGATTGAGGAGGCGAACTGCTCAATGACTTGGGCGTGAGTGGTATAATCCCCACCTAGGATATCTTTGGAGTAATACTCAGCAGGAAGAATAAAAGGATACCAAGCAAAAATAAAATAATAAATAAAGTAAAATAGCACAATCAAGGTGTGTTAAAAGTAGCCAAAATACCTTTATTAAGAATACAGAATAAAATATTAAAATATCCAATATAATGGAATTTTCACAGATGGTCACCATGCACCCATGTCCTTTTTGGGACATTTTTGAAGCTGGCCAATGTAATTTACCCCATCAAACCATATATTTTTGAAAAGTAGACATCCTGGGGTATTTCAAATGGTGGTATTTTAACACTTCATGCACTAATTCAACCACCAGTCTTTGTCAAACTTTTGGGTAGTCATTTTTTTTCCCTCTCTCACTTTGTACTTTAGGCATGGATTCTCAGTTCCTGTTATGTGTTACTGACAAAGAACACCCCAATATGTGTTCAGCAACATCTCCTGAGTACATCAGTGCCCCCAATGTACAGGTTTTATGGGTTTTTGCAAACTTACTGGGGTCAAATGTAGGGCTTTTCCATATTTGCACATTTAAATTTGCCAGATTGGTTTGCTGGGCCTATGTTGCCTTTGAGACGGTATTACAGCCCAGGAATGAAAATGAACCCCATCATGAAACACCATTTGAAAAAAATAAACAACGCAGGGTATTCACAATGGGGTATGTCCAGTCTTTTGTAGTAGCCACAAATGCTTACAAAGACAGCACTTTTACTGGTAATTTCATCGTAGTGATAAGTTTTACTGTTGTAAACCCTCATATTTGTGTTGAGCAAAGTCTCCAGAGTATAACAATATCCCCCATGTACAGATTTTATGGGGTTTTGGAAAGTTACAGGGTCAATATAGGGCTTGCCCAATTCAGTTTGCCAGACTGGTTGCTGGGTTTGTGTTGCCTTTTGACACCATATGGTAGCCCACAAATGTGAAATAACCCCATCATGGCATACCATTTTTAAATGTAGACAACCCAGAGTATTCAAAATGGAGTATTTACAGTCTTTTGTAGCAGCCACTTAGTCACAAACGCTGGCCAAGTTAGCGTTTTTATTTTTGTTTATATATACACCCAAATACTTTTATTTCCTATATATGTATAATATAATTAAAGCATTTTATAATATACATATATAAGGCATATATGTGATTTCATTAAGTGTATTTTGATGTGTATATATTTTAAAGTACACTTATAATTAAATCATATATATGCATTGTATATGTATATTATAAAATGCTTTAATTATTTTATAATATATTATACATATATAAGATATGAATAATATATTTCGTTTTTTATTTTTACTTTTTAGCAGCCTGGGGGACTTGTGCCTGTCCTCCAGTACTTATTTCTGATCAGACATACTTTGGTGGTATCCAGAGTCCAGATTGATAGACTGAAGTTTCTTCTTCAGACACAGGAGTTTCTATAACAACAAGAGAATTCAGACAGTAACATCAAAAGGTATAGCACTGAAGGAATATGCAAGAAGCCTTCTGGACGAAGAGGTGATTTCTTCCATAACAAGAGTGATTCCATGGACAATATTCACCTGTCTTCTGGTGCTAAAAGAAAAGGCCTCTACTGGACCTAAGAATGGCTAACAAAAGGCTGAATGTCAGAGTCTTTGGGATCGAGTCAATCAGATCCATATCTCAAGCAACTTGGAAGGATAATTTCCTTATCTCTATATAGCTCAATGGTGCTTACCAGCACATTCCAATAGCCCTAGATCTTCAGCATTATCTCAGAAGAGAACTTCCCATTTAGTGCCCTACCGTTTGGCCTCACTGTAGCCCCAAGAACCTTATATATGCTTATAGTGATATTGAGAGTCCAGAACACCACCTGGTTCCATTATCTGGATGATCTACTTCTGGTAGCCTCAGACCCACAGAATGCAGGTACACAGAGGAATATAGTTCTATCAGAACTCCTGAAGTTTGGCTGCTTGATGAATATCAACAAAAGCAGTGTCACACCAGCTCAGAGGTTGACATTTCTGGGTGGGACATTCTATGTTCTGCTTTTTCCCTATCTCAGAAACAGTTCCACAGATTGTGGAAGTTTCTCTTCCAGTTTCTTCATTTTTGCTTGGTAACCGCAAGAAAGTATATACAGCTACTAGGAATCCTGGCTTCCACCATCAGACTTGTCAGATGGGCTCAGGATTCCTCAAAGATCCTTCCTATCTTGATTCAACAAGAGAGAGATAAATTGGAGCCAGCCACTGACGATGTCACAATCACTTGAGTTACACCTTACCTGGTAGCTGAAAAGAGAGAATATGTCTCTGGTTTTCCAGTGAACAGAACCTCATTGGTCAATTATAAGCTTTAATTCCAGTTTCCAAAGATTGGTTGCACAGTGTTTGGATCATGTTACACAAGGTCTGTGGATAAGGGAGGGCACAATATTACTATTCAATTGTATGGAATTTCAAGTCATTTTCAGGACTCTTCTTCACTTCAGAGAGTTGCTGAAGACCAAGTGGGTCCAAATTTGCTCAAATATCAATGCGATGGTATCCTATATCAATCGTCAAGGTGTGTCTTACAGCCCATGATGATCAGGGCACAGAAAAACAACCAGGAGCTCAGAATACAATGGCTGATTACATGAGCCGAATAACTGTGGACAAGGTGGAATGACAACTATGTCCGAATGTATCCTCAGGGTTGACTCAGATTTGACTGATACCCTACATAGATCTGCTTTCTCAGAACTACCAGGTGTTTAACTATTACAAGGTCCCTTGACACATCCAAGATCCTCAAGCTCTGGTGTTGATGCGGGAGTCTCTATAAGGATAGGCATCCCTGAGAACCGGTTATTGAGATCCTCTTACAGTCCTATAAATACTTTACAAAACTTGGCATGCATTTGTCTGTTGGTCTCAAGAATAGAGGATGGAATTACTCATCAATCAGGCCTAGAAAGGGTCTCAGTTATAACACTCTAGAGGAGCACATATCTGCACTTTCCACATTGATGGGTGCACATTGAACATTGGAGCCCCTGGTGCTTTGCTTCACGTAGGCAACAATTAAACTCAAGCCTCCACTGAGGGTGTTGAAGCCAATATGTGATGTATCACTGGGAGGATCGTCAGTGTTCAGGTAAGTGGGGATTTACTATCGGACGTCCGAGGTCGTTAACGACCATTTTTTGTCTGACGTACCTAGTACGTCCAAGGTCGGGAAGGGTTTAAATAAGAGTTTCCATCTTTTAGTACTTTCACTTCGTATTTCTCCTTTCTACTATAACCCATTTTACATATCCTCCAACCCCAAGGAGAGTTTTATGTTATATCATAATTCAACTCTTAACCCTTTTATGAGTCACAAAATCAAAAACAATTGATATAATTAGACATATATTATACTGCATATGATCTTTCAATCAAGATTTTAAGAAATTATCTAAAAAAACTAGTGATATCATTATTTAACTCATCTCCTGCAATATATAACTATTATAATGTTAGATATAATTAATCATAGGTTTTGCATCATAGATCCTTTTAGAAGAGGTTTATGTAAATCCTACCAAATAAGAAGGAATAAGAGGAGGGAGGTAGAGGGGACATCAGTACAATTCAACATATTTATCAGTATGTATAATTGCCATATTTCCTACGTGTCTTGTGATCTAATACGAGAGGACGTTATCAGTTTTCCCACAATCTTTTAAAATATATTCAAATAGTTTTTCTCTACATCCAAATCCCTCAAATCATGTGTTCCTTAAGTGCCCCCTTGTATTATATTTAGATATCCATTTTAATTATTTAGAAAAAAAAAAAAAAGATATTTTAACTTAGAAAAAATGTGTGTACTTTTTATCATCCCATTAATTATACCCAGTGCTTTAACTTAGTAAGAGTCATTCCATTTATATAACTCATATGTTAAATTGTGCAATATTCACAAAAATGTAAAAAAAAATATAATATATATTGTAAACAATTAAGTGTTACACTCCTATAAAACAAGTGAATTTAGTCTTAGATTTCCTTCCACACATTTTCAATCCGTGTACTCATATAGCCTCATCATATTAGAGCCCAAACATCCTTTCCCCCCTCTTTTACATTCTATAATCTTGATTAATAGCATTGTATTAAATAATACTATATCTTTTATCCAAATTACATCTATATCATGTTTCTAAATAGGATAGAATTAATTACTTGGTTACTTGGGGGACAGCAAAGAGGAGGGATACAGAAGACGAGAAAAGTCTCTTTTTCTCCCTTTGCCTCAATTCCGATAGTTTCCTTCTATTTTGGATGTGCCTCTAGCCATTTGTGGCCTTCTTCAGCCGTATGCATGGTAAATGGCTGACTTTCATGCCAAAAAAATTTGGTAGGGAAACCCCAGGTATATTTAATTTGTCTAGATCTCAGTATTGTGTTTAAGTCCTTAAAGGCATATCTACTTTTCCTTGTGCCATTGGATAGGTCTTGAAAAAAGAGCAGGTTTTTAAGATTTTCCCTCATTGGAATTAAAACTTCTTGAGGCTTGGTAGATTTTTTTTTTTTGCCAGATAAAGAATGCTGAGAAATGAACAATTTCTGAGATTACCTTAGGCTTTACTGTTCTGTGTGCATGTTCTATTAGGTCTTCCTTTTGTGCTACTGAGACTCCCATATTTTAAAAAGATCCAATAAACATTCTAATAATAAATAGGAATCTATATTCTCATTTATTCCTCTAATTCTTGCGCAACTAACGTCTCAAATCCTACAGACTGACATTCCACTAGATCCATGGATCTGGCTTCTGTCCAAGCCCTACGAGGAAACACTGAGAGCTCAAAACAAACTCATCGCTAAAATCGCACTAACCACTAGGAAAACCATAGCTGCAAAATGGGGTAGCCCAGATATCCCCTCAATGGTCACGGTGAAGCAAAAGATAAATGAGACTTGGGAAATGGACAACCTTTCAGCACTCATCCATGATAATAAAACTTTCCACAAATTCTGGGATGCCTGGCTCTTCAAATTCTTCCTCCCCACATGAAAGGATTGCTATGGCGCAAGGCAAGGTCACTGAGGAACACAAATCTTTTCCCCCCCCCCCCTTCTCTAAACCATTCTGATATTTCACAACGTACACTCGACACTGTCTGTATTCCACCTATCAATCTTACCATACTCCCCCCAATGTTTCAAGGGATGCACCCATCACACCTTATGGCCGTAAACTCCTCCATGACATAGTTGAAGGCCCAGTACGCATCTCATACGCCGTGCAAGCAGGAGGGGACACCTGGTCACCCCCTGGGCTTGCACAGAAAGGCCTACCCCCTCTCACACTACAGCCACGGATGACAATGTACTCACCGAGGCACCACAGACTACAGTGATGCCATCACAATAGCTACAGATCTTAACGACGGGGTCACGAATGGTTATGAATCCTGTAACATACCGGTATTGATTAACACCTGTACAAGAATTGCAGACGAAAGTCAAAGTGATATACGGGTTTCCCCATTGTGCCGCCTTCTTTCTGTTTTCCCTCCCCACCTATTATAGACCACAAAAAAGGAAGACAACCTGACTAATGTAGTAATTTTACCCAACATGTACATAGGTTAAAATATGTTGAAACCACTGATGAAACTCCTGTGTACTTGTACAATCTGTATAAATGTCACAATGAAACGATGTATGTGTTATACTCTTTTACCCCCAGATTCTTCTTTCTGTACCACTCCCCCATGAAACAAAATCTTCAAAATAAAGAATTTATAAGAAAAACAAAAACAAACACTTTTCTTTTATGTACAATGAGTCTTTACTTAATGTCCCTTAATGTTAGGGGACTTAATACCCCACATGAGAGGAGACTTTTCTTTAAAGATATTAAGAGAAAAAAAGATGATATACTATGTATTCAGGAATCATACTTCAAAACTTATTTTGTTCCTAATTTAATAGTAAAGCAATTTCTGAACCAGTTACATGTTTCTTATCAGATGAAATCAAGAGGGGTGTATATTTTAATTAATAAAATTGTGTACAGATAAAGTTATAAAAGATAAGAATGTGAGATATATTACTTTGGGAAATTAATAAAATATTATACACTATAGTAAACATTTGTTTTCCCAATTCCAGACAGATAAAATACTTTATTTATATTGGAAACGTTTCTGGAATCGAAAAAAGGCAGTTTAATTATTTGTGGAGACACTCATTTTGTGTTAGATTATGACCTAGACACCACTAGAGAGAAACTGAGAAAACAAGAAGATAATGCCACTTCAAGGACGGCTCATGCTTGCTCACAAATGACACATGAATACGGGTTATATTGGAGAATGTCACAAAGCGAAGAGAAAGACCATGCTTTTACTCCACTACATGCAACATGTATTCCAGGATAGATAGGTTCCTAGTAGAAGAATCTGTATTACCCAATATTATAATAGATATTGTAGAAATTGACTGGTCTGAACTTTACTATGACTATTAGAGAGCCTAATGTAGATAAAAAAATATTAAACCCGGAGACTCAATGATTAAGTTAATGGTCTTGAAAATAAAAATACTAGTAGAATTGGCATTAAATAATTATTCTAAAGAAAATGATTAACCCAATATATACCCAGAAACACTCTAGAATGCTCATAAAGCGAATTTACGTTGGCGCTTTATTCAGAGAGCATCATATTAAAAAAGAACAAAGAATAGAATGTTGTTTCTTTTAGAAAAATGTTTATATAGAACTTACAACAGGCAAGCAAGTGTAGCCCTTCTGCCTCATTAGCAACTTTTATTAAAGAGACCAGAAATAAAATGAATGTAATTAGATGTTTAAAAGATTAATTCATGTTTGTTTAAAAGATTAATTCAAAACTTTTACTTTAAAGATGATAAAGCTTTGTCTATGTTAGCAGATAAATTAAGGAAATGATAGTTAATTCTAGAATAGCTTACTTACTTAAAGCAGCACTGTCATGGCCGAATCCAGTTTTTTTTTTTTGTTTTTTTTTAAACCCCCCTCCCGACTACACTACATCTAAGTCACCCCCAAATGCCCCTAAGCCCCATATATTACCTATTTTTTTATCTTTATTTTCTGCCTGGACCTAGGTCCTGGGCGCCGCCATCTTTGTGTGGGTAGATGACGTCCCTGTGGGACACATCATCTGCCCACACTAGATAGAACTGTGAAATTCCTGCACATGCCCAGTTAAACACTTATACACCGATACTGCGGCCACTTCCTAAGCCACCCATGTCCTCCCTCACTCTATGGGGGTCAATATGACCCCCATAATAGCATAAGGAAGATTGCAATCTCCCAAATGCCCCTACTTGCTATACTGCGAGTAGGGGCACGTCTACTAAACAGCGAGCAGCCTTTTAGGAATTTTCCCACGCTGTGTAAAATGACACAGAGCACTCTGGTTGAATTTCAAGCCAACCAACCAGAGTGCTGTGACAAGTAAATGTAGAGACTTACCTATCAGTCTCTTCATTTACCTGTCAGAGCACTGATTGGATAGCTTAAACCAACCACTCAGAGCGCTCTGAGCCTTATTGCAGGGCAGGGCAAAGCTTTATACGCCTTTCCCTGCCCTGCAGAGCTCAGTCTACGCTGTGCCCTCGCCGGGTGAAGATGGATTAATTTTTTTATCGTCAGGTTTTTTCTTTTTCGTTTTTTTTTTACACTCCGGTTTTTATTTTATTTTTTACAAGTTCGACGGGTATTATGGTTTTTATTTGGCCTTTTTGGGGGCTGAAAAATTTAGATTTTTAGAAAAGTCACCTGAGGGGGGCATTTTTATTTAGGGTCGCCACCCGCCGCTCAGGAGTTGGGTGCCGGGGGAGGACAATAGGTCCCCCCCCTTCATTTTACTTTAGTGTCTCCACCCACTGCTTAGGGGTGGAGGTGGGGGGACAATAGGTCCCCCCCTTATTATTTATGGCCCCCACCCACTGCTAAGGGATGGGGGCCAGGGGAGGACAATAGGTCCCCCCTCATTTTTCTTTAGGGCCCCCACCCACCGCCTAGGGGTGGGGTCTGAGGGGGAGGGCAATAGATACTACCCCTAATTTTCCTCTAGGGCCCCCACCAGCCGCTCAGGGGTGGGGGCTGGGTGGCTCTTGGTCCCCACTTCAGTTTAATAGCCCTCACTCATGTGGCATGGGAGGGGGGATACTAAGGTGTTGGTTTTTTGGTTTTTTGTTTTTAGCAAGTAGGGGCAGAATTTACTAACACTAAGTAATCTTTACTTAGTATTAGTAAATTTGGTTGAAAGACCAATTTAGTTCTTTTAGACTTTTGGTAGATAGCTCCCTGATACCGTGGGAATTAGGGAGTTATCTACTATGCGACTGTAAGATGCAGCCGCAGCATGAATAGGATCAGAGTTTCATTCATATGAATGAATTTCTGATACGAACAAAGTCACGAATTGTGTCCTAACACGAATGGAGAAACTGTTCTCATTCTGTTAGGACACAATTCGTAAGTTTCGCTGACGTTCTGTGTAAGTGACAGGACGTTCGGGAATACTGACAGGAAGTTTCGCGGGAACACGGAGGAAAGCTTAAAATTGTCGCGAAAAAAACAATGACACAAAATTATATTCAAAAATCCGGGGAAACAGATTAATCTGATTCTTTGCCTGGTTGACAATGATCAGGTAGGATGTGTTTTTAATAGACTGGCATCAGACAGTACTCACAGGTTTATAAATGTAATACATTATATTTGAGAGTGTCGGACACCTTCTCTGCTTCTTTCTCTGGATGCAGAGCAGGCAATCAACAGAATTCACTGGGGACACCTGCAACAGGTGATGTGGAATATGACGTTTTCTATATAATTTGTGGATGCTGTCTTTGCTATATGTCTAGAAGTCTTGATCTATCCAATGGAACTAGACAAGGTTGTCCTTTGTCACCATTACTTTTTATATTGGCTATAGAACCATTGGCAATTAGCTTCAGAAAATATATTAATATCAAAAAGGATTGAAAACAGGTAACCAAGCTCATAGAATTTACTTATCTCTTGATTATGTTATCTTGATACTCAGGGAACCTGCCAATTCTTTACCAAACCTACTTAAAGTCCTCTGTGAATTTGGAGAGATTTCTATTATAAATTAAATATTATTAAATGCAATCTTTACCCTTTCATGTCCCACTTTTGGAATTAGTGGATTTGAAAATCAATTATCAAACTATTTACATACGAATGGAACGATTAACTCCTTAAGGACAGAGCCAAATGTACACGTTGTGAACGAAACAAAATGTAAACAAAACCTGGCATTTGCGCTACATGTCTGTCCAACCGTAATTCACCTCTTTCATATTAAATGCACCCACCTTTATTATATATCATTTTATTCAGGGGAAACAGGGCTTTCATTTAATATCAAATATTTAGCTATGAAACATAATTTAATATGAAAAAAATGGGAGAAAATAAGTTTTTTTTATTTTTTTTATTTTATTTTAGTTCTACATGACATTTTAACTGTCAATGTCATAATACTGTTTGCTTTTACTGCAATAAAATACACATATTTGTATTCAGCAAAGTCTCACGTGTAAAACAGTACCCCCTATGTACAGGTTTTATGGCGTTTTGGGAAGTTACAGGGTCAAATATAGCACGTTACATTTGAAATTGAAATTCGCCAGATTGGTTACGTTGCCTTTGGGACTTTATAGTAGCCCAGGAATGAAATTTACACCCATAATGACATACCATTTGCAATAGTAGACAACCCAAGGTATTGCAAATGGGGTATGTCCAGTCTTTTTTAGTAGCCATTTGGTCACAAACACTGGCCAAAGTTAGCGTTAGTATTTGTTTGTGTGTGTAAAAATGCAAAAAACGCCAATTTTGGCCAGTGTTTGTGACTAAGTGGCTACTAAAAAAGACTGGACATACCCCGTTTGCAATACCTTGGGTTGTCTACTATTGCAAATGGTATGCCATCATAGGGGTAATTTTCATTCTTGGGCTACCATAGGGTCTCAAAGGCAACGTAACCAATCTGGCGAATTTTAATCTGAAAAAAATGAAACGCAAGCCTTATATTTGATGCTGTAACTTTTGAAAACACCATAAAACCTGTACATGAGAGGTACTGTTGTACTCGGGAGACTTCACTGAACACAAATATTTGTGTTTCAAAACAGTAAAAAGTAATGCAGCAATAATATCGTCCGTGTAAGTACTGTTTGAGCGTGAAAAATGCAAAAAAGTCACTTTTACTGGCGATATCATCGTTGTAATACATTTTACTGTTTTGAAACACTAATATTTGTGTTCAGCGAAGTCTCCCGAGTAGAACAGTACCCCACATGTACAGGTTTTATGGTGTCTTGGAAAGTTATAGGGTTAAATATAGTGCTAGCAAATTAAATTCCCTTTACTCTCGGCATGGGTTGTCAGGCAGGTCCCGCTAATTGTAATTAATTAAGATACCTAATTATGTAAAAATATTACATAAATATATATGTAGAATTAATATATCTGTATATATATATACGTATGTGAATCTATATGTGTATATATATATTTTTTTTAAATATTTTTATTTATATATAGGTATATATATATAGTGATATATACGTATATATTTATGTATGTAGATATATATATTATTTCGTTCTACGTGTATTTTGATATAAATATACACACATCTATATATTTTTTAATAATTTTTTTAATTTTTTTAATTTTATT